CATCTATTTTTGTTTTTTCAAAATGTAAGTGTAACATAGAGGAAAGGTCTGCGTCTCTGCTGACTTGTCTCAGTTCTGCACTTTTGCTGTATATATTCAGGCAGTGCTGAAGATAAGATTTGAAATACTTCATTACAATAGAATTGTGCTTGTTGTTAATTTGCTAATCAGTAACTTGGATGTTTAGACCTTGCTGCATTGACAAGGTGAAAACAACCCAGGCTGGCAGATGTAATTTGCTTAATAAAGCTTGGTCAGCACTTTCAGACTGGGAATTGGAAAGCACTTCCAAGTCATTCTTCGTATGGGGTTTACAAATACACATCTCCTAGTACAGCATGAAAGACTAAAGCTGTATAACTGTCCAAAAAAAGTTTCCTTCCTTCTGTTCTTCCAGTTATTGGTAAAAGGGGACAACACTGCTGTATTCTGAAATGATTTTGCAGCATTCTTATCCCATACAGCGTCTGTGATGCAAAAAAATTTAATTTATTTTATCAGATTTTCTTTTGTTTCTGCTAACTGTAATTCTGTGGAATTAGTAAGACTAATAGAAATTGTTTTGTAACAGTTGAAAGTAGTCTGAGTACTACAGCAAAGCCCACAGACCCTTCAAGGCTGGCTTCAAGGTCAGCTGATGACAACACAGAGGGTAACGGACAGCTGCGACACCTGTCCTTACCAGGAATTTCCAGCATCGAAGGTATGTCCTTTCTAGGCTGACCTTTTCTTTTTTTGAATATTTCATGTAAATGTTTAGGAGACGGTAAGTGTAACTGGAATTATGGTAGTGTGTCTGGGCATTTTGGGAGAAGTGAGGTCAATTTTAAAAGCTTGAGAACTACGGACTTTAAAAAAAAAAGTAATTAAAAAAAACAAACTAAAAAGACTAGCATGTAGAAGAAAAGAAACTGGGATTTAAACAGGAGTGTGCATTGTAAGCAAATTGTAATTGTTTTGAGTGCCAAAGTATTACACCAAGTGCCCCAGAGATTGAGAGAGAAGTCAAGGGCAGAATTAGGGTGCTGAAGGAAAATGAAGTAGGTGTGAGTGTGTATGTTTTGGGGTTTTCTTTTCTTCATTTTTTTTTTTTTTTAAGAGAGCACTGCCTGGTCAAATGAATAGTTTCTGGATCTTGCTGTTCAGTCTCTTCAGCTGCTGAAAGGGCAGTGCTTTGGATCAGGAAATGAATAGACACTTTTCCCTTTATATCATCTGTGCTGTTGGTATAGCAACAGTCATTCAGAGCTTGCTTTTGTGGAGGATAACTTCATCTGTATGCAGTTAGTGGTTGTAGAATGGGCTATTAGTCGTGGCCAGAAATAGGGATTATTTTTTTTCAGTTTTAAAGTAATTTAATCCAGAAGTGTTCATGCTTTTTTCTCCTAAACTGTTACTGACAGCTTGCAACAATGCAGAAGGCAAGCTACGTACTTGGGTCTGCTTTATTTAATTACTAGGTAGTAAGACATAGTGCAGTAAAATGGGAAGAGCAGCTTATAGGATATTCCTGTGTACTTAAAGGAGCTACTTTTAAATCCTTTTCTCCTTGCAGATCTTCAGAATTTGTTTGAAAAAGCAGCTGAAGATGCTGATGGAAAACTATCATATGAGGATCTTCAAAAGCTGCTTGGCTCTACAGCCCAAGAGTCACAGAGCTTTAAGAAATTTGACACAGATGTAGATGAGAAATACTCATTACAAGAACTGAGATTAGCTTTAGGCGTATAGGATATATATTTAGAAATGTGATATTGATGGATGCTACTGTAGCTAAAGGAAACTACGGGACATGAAAAACTATGTCTGCACTTTCCCAGTGTTTTACTGATCTTTGGAGCTAAATTACTGTACACATTGCCATCTCCTTTTTGTTTGCATTTATTGAAAAGAAATTTACAAATTTATATGTCGATAGGACATAATACTGGGACTGTGTTAAAATCCAGAAAATTCCCAAACTTGGAAACGTTTTCCTCTCATTCTTTCCTTTTCAAGGGAGTTCTTGTTTTTAATTTAAAATGTGTACATACTAAAATAAAACTATGGTTTTATATTTCACTAAAATTTGCCTTAAATTAGAGATCTGCACTTTATGTAGAGCAGAAAGAACTCTGTCTTGTAAAGATGGGCTTCTTCTGCTTGTAAATATTTGAGATAGAGTAAATTACGCATATTGAAGGGGAAGTTTGTGTCAGGGGCTGTGTTGGTAGTAAGCTGTTTATGATGAGAGACGACCTAAAAGGGGTGGTTAAGAGCTTCAGCTAAATTTCTAATTTTGACTCAGTATATCCATGAATGAGTTTTGGACTCAGTCAGAGGAAAGCAGCAGTGGTAAATCATGCCCATCTATAGCAGGATTTATTTTTAGAGGGAAGAGTTGAAAGTATTTTTATATCATGAGCCTACAGGAGCAATTACCTACCAAGTGCTTGGGTTTTCACTTCAGCATTCTTTTAGCTTTTCTGTATTGTGTCCAGATTATTTTGTGAGATGAGCCTATCTATTTTTAAAAAAAAAAAAGCTATTGAACTTTAACAGATGCTTTAAGAGGTAAAAGTCTACAGTGCAGCCTGCTGAGTAGCACCTGAATAGTTCATGCCTCAGGTATGATCAGCGGTGTGCTGACGGTCTTGCTGACTGGTCACCGGAGATCTTTTGAACGGGGTTGCTAGTGCTGCCCGTTTCTTCCATCTGCTGTTGTTGGGGTCACTCTGATGAAGTGCCCTGAGTAAAGCTCCTGGTCACTAGGAGCATGAGCAGGTGGGGGAGGCCCAGAGTAGACTTGTGGGCTGTTTCCTGACTAATGTGAACATGATCACTTCTTGGTACCTTTACCTTTTGTGTTCTCACCAACAGAAGGATGTAGAAAGCAGGACAGGAGCGTGCAATCGCATCGGCGTTCTCTACTGATGCATGCTTTGTAAGTGATGTTTCCGTACTATAGAGGAACTTAAGGCTTTGTTTATGCTAGTGGATCTAAACACACAGCGTTTCTGGAACATCGAAAATGGCTTTTGCAGAAGGGATTCTCTTGCAGGCTAGATCAGGGCCAAGCCGGATGATTTTGCTCACAAATACCACTGATCTTGTTGGGAGGTTTTTTGCATGATTAGTGAATTGAAGTTGCCCACCTCGCTGAAACATGACTTTATGTGGAAGTTGGTTCATAATTGTTGACTTTTTATATAACTTTAGACTGGATGTTTTATGAATAATTGTACTCTGGAGTATGAATCAGTGAAGGAATGTACAAAATGGAACCCTGTTACCCATGGCCTAGGCTTCTTTCACTGTTGCTCTTCTATCCTGTTTGGGTAATGCAGACGTGACCCAACATGGAGATGCTGTTGATGTGACATCTGAAAATACAGTATTTAAAAACAAAACAAAACCAACCAACCTTGGCTTTTGAGAGGACAAGAAGCCAACACTTGCTTCTTGCCACTTCCCACACCCTTTTATACATTACTGTATAATTCCTTAACCAAATAAAAAAACCTAGCAATAAAATGTAACCATTCTGGTATTTTATTTGTACATACTGTATCATAGCCATATGCCAGAGTTTGCAAAATATTTTTGGAAGTTTGATTTGTACGGAATTTAACTTACCTTAAAATTTAAGGGATTATTGTATTGCCATGTGAATCTGTTAATGTTTTGTTTTGTTGCAGTCTGCTTTACTTTTAGAAGGCTCTTCAACAGCAATAGTGAAACTGTCAGCTAGAGACAGTGTGTGCCGCTCCAGCCGCCCGTGTCCTCTGCCTGCGGCCAAGGAGCCGAGCTGGTCGGTAACGGGCGCTAGGGCACAGCTGTCCGGTGGTGCTGCTTAATTTGCATGTCAAGAGCATAGTGGCTTGCTAATTGCTGTAGTCACTGCTGTTGTTGGATGGACTTGTGCTATCAATTTAACAAAATCCCGTCATCCTGAGCACAGCGGTGGCTTTTGTTTGGCCTCGGGTAGCCGGTAGCGGTGCGCTGCAGGCTGGGAGCACCGGGCCCCAGCCAGCCGCTCCCATCCGTGCAAGTTCTCTGCTACGCTCCTGGCCTCCATCTTGCGTGCTTTCCGAAGCCCCGGTGCTGGGTGTTGGCAGGCTCCCTCCCCCGTGTTTTATTCATGCTGCAGATGGTAGAGGGCATAAAAGCCACCGGCGTGGTACATACACTTGTCCAGATCCGCGCTCTGCTGTAGTGCAGGCCTGCAGGCGGCGGGTTCCCGGGGGGGCAGCCAGCCTGAGGGGGCTGCGCGCTCCTGCGGGTGGCGAGTCCTAGGGAGAAAAAGTGATGTCTGAAATCAAATTAAAGAGTGAGAGTTGACGGGTCTGTGAGCGGCAGCTGGGGCTGTAGCTGAGACTTGCTGTGACACTGTGATTCTTGGGTTCGTTTTCAGGCTGTATTTGTGGGGGTTTTTGGGTGATTCCTGTGCAGGGACCACTGTGTATCTTTCAGTTCAGTTACTGTGCAAGGAGCGGAGCCGCACCGTTCTGGGCGTGCATGGCGCTTCTCTCTGCTCCGCTGGGTTTGAGCTGCGGCACTCCACGCCTTTTATCATGTAACGCGACTTTTAATTTATCTAAATAAAAGTTCATTTTCGGTGTGCGTCTCCGGCCCTTTCATTCCGGGGACGGAACGGCGGGGCGGGGCGGCGCGGCGGGCGGAGCGCTGCGGCGGACGGACCGGGAGGGACC